AATTGTTAATGCAACCATCGACAAGAAAGTACGAAGATAATTTTGTCTATCCCGTGAAACTCAAAAGAGTGCGGAAAATTCACAGTAAGACGATCGTTTATCTAAGTGATTTTATCCCTTAACTCAAACCAAACAAAGAACACATTATCCATGAAAGATTCGAATTAAACAACAACCCACGCTAAGAATAGCAAGGACACCATTCAATATACTCGATCGGTCATCATTCAAGAGACTCAAGAAAGGTAGGAGCAAACAATGCTCAACTATGAAGGAATACTATTGATTAGTAATCTTCATAACCAACCAAAGATATGCAACATATATACTATCTCAAAATACTTATGCCAAAGCACAACTCATCCAACAAAAGTAGGACAAACCCCACAATGGAACTCATGAACACACTCATCATGAAATTTGAACACCAAGCCAAAAGAAATGCTCATCAATCGAACTACTAGAAGTAGTATGAAAATAAGAAGTTTTGTTTGAAAACAATTCTATCAAGAAGCATACTTGAAAAAGAACGGTTTCTGCAAGATCAAAAAGATCCAAGACAAGATGAAAACCCTCTTGGTTAAATCATAATTGACACGAAAAATGGACAACTCCATTTAACAAAAATTCCTCACAGGAAAAACTCTCAAAAGAGACAACAAAAATGACCACTCAAGGGTGCTTTAAAATTTCGGCCAAGCCCCCTATTTATGGGCTTTAGAATTTCGGCCATCACTAATAGAAGAAGATCAATTAGGACTCTCTAATTTTATCTCACAAGGAGTAAAAGTAGAAGAGTATTTAATCTCTTTGACTCTATCTAAAATCTAGAAAACCTTATCTAATTGACTTATCCTCAAGTAGGATAATATCTAGAAGGAATCTAAGACTCCTAATCAAAACACTTTAGTTTAATTCAGTCCACATGACTTATTTAACTAGATAAATATTCGAAAATAACTCCTAGACTTAGACAACAACTAAATCTCGAAAATCAGCTCCCAAATTGTTGAAGTAAAATGTCTTGAACGCCTTTCCAAAAGTGGAATATTGGTCTTACGCCCCTTAAGTTGTGGAAAACTCCAATTTACTCCAAAACTTGTAGAATTCTCTTTATTGACTCCAAAAGATTGGAAAAACACTTGAAACAATTAAGATAGTTTGCAACCTATCCAATTGTGTAGCAATGGACTCAATCTTGAACACTTTGATCAAATAGGCCGTCCATTCAAGAACCTAAATGACTCTTCTCACTAGCTTGATCAATGATCTTCATGGAGCACACAGAGTCAAAATCTCTTGATACTCTTCAGCACTTATTTCCATGAGGTCATCATCTCCTTTGGTTTGAACCCCAAAGTTAATGACATTCTCATCACCTTGATCATAGCTCTCTTGAACCAACTCTCTATCACATAGGTAGTCAAGATCCATCCTTTCTTCCTTGATTGGCCTGCAAAGTAAACTTGGCATTCCAAAATTAGAATGAAGGACTAGTTCATTCCCCTCACTAGGAGAATCACCATGGAAGGCTACATGATTCTCATCAATTTGAAACCAAGTATACCTACATTACAAGTATGTTAATATTATTTCTTAGATAATTGGTATATTTTCCATAAATAAAAAGAGACTACATACCAAAACGAAGAGATTATTTACCAAATAATTATACGAGTAGAATTCAAAACTAAATCTGGATACATTAAGCATAAGTTGATAATATTTTTCTGATGATTCTATTTGATATATTTTCCAAAAATAAAATGGATCAGTTACCAATAACAAAAAAATATATTTGTTATAAAATAATTATACTGTGAATACAATACAAAACTAAGTCTGGATAAATTATACGTATGTTCATATTATTTTTCAGATTATTCCATTTGATATATTTTTTAAAAATAAAAAGAAATTAGTTACTAAATAATTATACTACAAATACAATTCGAAACCAGGTCTGTATACATGCAAGATAGGTTAATATTATTTTACAGATGACTCCATTTAATATATTTTTCAAAAAATAAAAATAGATTAATTAAAAAATAAAGGAGATTAGTTAGAAATAATTATATTATGAATACAATTTGAAAACCAAGCCTGGATTCATTAAATGTACATTAATATTATTTCTCAAAACATTTTATTTGATATATTTTCAAAAATAAAAAGAGATTAATTACAAAAATAGAGAGATTAGTTAACGAATCATTATATTACAAATACAATTCGAAACTAAGTTTAGATACATTAAATGTATATTAGTATTATTTTAAATGATTCCATTTGATATATTTTTCGAAAATAAAAAAATAGCTATCATAAATATAAAGATTAGTTGCCAGATCATTATATTAAGAATACAATTTGAAATCAAGTTTAGAAACATCATACATACGCTAATATTATTTTTTAAATAATTTATTTGATAAATTTTCCAAAAATAAAAAGAGTTTAATTTCATAACTAAGGAAAAAGTTATGAGTTCAGATAAATAAAATAGGTCTTGCACCCGTCAGGCACAGGTTGTTTTGCTATTAAAAATAAAAAAAGTAAAGAAAAAGTTTAGAGTATGGATAAGTATTTCAAAATTATTTATTAGTTCTTTTTGTCATGATTTCCCCCCCTATTTTTTGTGCTTTATTTACTTTTGTTGGAATTTTTTTTTTTTACTTTATGCCTAAAAAAAGATTATTTATAATATTTGATTCAATTACTACAAGTAAACAATATATACTTTTCAGTCAATATATTTTAATAATATACATGATTTAATCTCTATTGTTGAAAATAACTTTTATGTACTTATGTCCCTAAAAAAGTAGGATAGTAGACAATTGATCATATTAATTTGTATTTAGAATTTTCTTTTTTTGATATACTATCACTCCTAAACAAGAAGCATATTAGATAGTTGAACATATTAATTTGTATTTTAAAATACCCTATATGGCTAAGAAGTACTTGATCAAAGTGGTAACAATATTAGACCAAGTTAACTGCAATCCATGATTAAATATGTGCATGAGCATGTAGTAATGATTGTTGGGAGAGGTTTGTCTTCCAAAAGTGACCTACCCGATTGGAAAACGGATTAGTTGAAACAATGATTTCAAACAGCGAATGCACTATATACCAAAAACGAAAAAAAAAAACTGTATGAAACTCTTGAAAATTTGGACTCCGAATGCCTAATATACCAAAAAATAGAAAAACTTAAACATATGACACTTTTTATAAGAAAATAATGATATATTAATATTACTCTAAAATATAGTAAAATTCGCACAACATGCGGGCATAATACTAGTATCTCATGAATGAAGGGTGCCTACTGCCAAGTTACCACATAATTGTCCAAAGTACCTGGAGTTGAAAGAACTTCAAATTCAAAGAATTCGTTGAAAGTTTGAGTGAAGTTGTTGCTGTGCAGCGTCATGATCCCAATGATTAATTCATAAATTAATATTTATCGGTGTAAAAAATCACTAATTTTGTCGTTAACCATTAGCTACTACGAACTAATGAGGTCGGGTTATCGCATTTCATTTTTAAAAATCTTTGCCGCTCTTGTTCCATCCGAACTTTTGTCGTCTTTTGTTTTTCCTTTTTTTTTTTTTTTTTTTTTGGTTTTTTCTTTTGTAGATACTTATAGCAGCGCCTTAGAAGCTATATTAAATCAGTAATAATTAGAGGTAGGGTTTACAGGAAAAAATATTTGTGGAAAATTTCTCTGGTGTGTGTCTTCTGCTTATGTTTCCTGCCTATTTAATCTGATTATTGGGTTTATGTTGCTCCCTTCTACAAAACTATAAACTTAATTGCCTGCGTAATTTGTAAATTGAATTAAAGATATTATTGTAACTTACAAGTTACAGCGTTGATTATTTTTAATATAATAGAAATAAGATATAATAACTTAATGAGAATGATTCAAAAGAAAAAGGACAGCATTCATAACCCTCATTGTCTCATGTCATTGTATGTGGCCCAAAAATTCTAAATATATTGCTTTTCTGATAACAACATTTTTTCTTTATAAAATCAATATCTGGAGATGACATCCAAGCTAGATAGCTTCATTTGCAAAATTTAGTACAAGTTGAAAGGGTCTCACCATCTTTAGCTGTATGTATTCCAAGTCGGATCACAAGTGAAATGAATCAATTCCACGTTTTGGTGCCAATTTTTGGTATCATGTAGGTGGAATAACTTTTTCAAAAGGTATGCATCATTTTTTCTCTTCTTTAATTTCACTTGACTTCATAAAGTCGACATGTGAAGTCATTCGGTGAGAAAAATTCTTGCATTATGGTTAAGTTTCTTTGGGAGCAACTCCATCTAAATGAATTGAGGGCTAAAACTACAATAACCACCCAATAACCATCCAATTAGACAGAGGGAGAGATGATAGATATTTCACAAGTTGCCTATATTAATTACCAGAAGAGTTGACAAAAACTTTGATGCTCACACCAACTTAATTAATCAATATTTTTATACCTCTTTCTCGATACTCATTGTTATACCTATTTTTTATATAAATTTCAAAACTCGATACGAGCTAAATTTTTTAGGACAGAAATAATGATAATTTAGTGGCACGTAATAAGTGAAACAACAACAAATATCAATGGCCTAATAAGGTTGGCTGTTAAGATGTCAAAGTGTACTCCCAATGTTTAATACTCTTTTGTGTATGGACCATAAAGTTGTACTTCACCTCCTCAGTTTTTCCCTATAGGCACACCCAAGATATCTCACTTTTCTCCACCAGCCAGCAGCCATTAATGCTTAAACTGGGACAATAAAAATGCGCCTGAATTAGTTCACCGTATACTTGTTTGTTGTTGCTGCCATGGCCCATATAAAGGAACATCAAAAGATACAGTTACCTTGTGTTGAAAACTGGATATTTTTCTGCCCACGAGGGTCATGAGATCATTCCATTTCTGGATGGTCTGCCTTCCTACTTGTTGGGAATTTCGAAAACCATGTCTAAGTCTTTTCTGTTGCTCTTCTTCACTTGCATCATCTTCTCGTTGAGTTGCAGCACCCCATCTGATTCAGGAATATGGTTCCTGCATCAGTACACTAGACAAGGTGGGAGGAAATTCGAGCAGAAAACGGATAAGTTTTGGGAGTTTCACCAGCAATCAAACAGGTGGGTTGAAGTGGAACAACCTTTCGATCTAGTTTCATGTGTTGATGGTAGCTGTACAAAGGTTTGCTCAATAGGTCATCAGAGGAACAAGACTGAAAAGAACTTAGAAGAGGAATCAACTCCTGTTTCTAATTCCATAGGAATTACTGAAAGAAAGGAACAAGTTTATAAAATCTTACCTTTCAGAAAGAGAGTTTCTCTGATCAAAATGTCTGATGCATCTATCTGGATCACTGGACCGAGTGGATCAATATATGAAAGATTTTGGAATGGTCTGCAGTGGGTATTAGCACCACATGAATTTCCTGTAAGTGCAGGGCAGGCTACTTCAGTCTTTGCTGTTAACCAGACAATTCTGGCCCTTGCTGAGTCAGGGAATCTTTATCAGGTAGGAATCTCAAAAAAAGAAGAAGAATTATTGCTTCATATCAGATAACTTCAGATGAACCATTAAGTGATCAGCAGATTATTGAAATAAAGTGTCATTTACCTGTCATATAACAGCTGCAGCTTAATGAAAACTCACAGCCAGTATGGGTTGAATCCACACCAGAACTTGATCGAACCACAAGCAAAGAAGCAGAGAACAATTTTCCTCAAATAACTTCTGGAGTTACTTCTGACGATAGGGAGTGAGTAAAAAAACTTAATGCTCGGTTTCAAAGCAGAATTGTTTGTTGGAAAATGAAGTTACAGATAAATAGTCTTGACATATTCAGAATCTGCTAACAAAACCTTGATTTGTTCTGCATCAACGTCAGGAGGTTGTATTTTTGCACTAAGAATCGGTCGTTAGTTGAACTTACCAGTATTGAACCCCCCAGGTGAGAGCAATAGAACACAACAGCAATCTCGATTATATTCAGTGTATTACAAGTTCATGTGAAGATCAAACTAATAAATTTTGCATTGGTGTTCATTCACTTGTAGGTGGAGTACTCATGGTCGACCACCTGGTGCCGATGTTGAGGCAATAGTTGATGCTTTATCTGCTAGATCAGAAATAGTTTTTACTGTGAGGTGAGCTCCAAAACTAAGGTTCCTGATTGTTAATCTAAATCCTTCAAGTTCCATTCCTAGGTCATAAGTTGGAACACTTGGCCTTAGCTCTGTAGGAGATCTCTATGAATATGACCAGAGTACTAAGCCAGCATGGAAGAAGCACATACAAAAAGAAGGTTCAGCACAAGACATCTCTCTGGCCCCAACTAAAGGATGCAGCTTTCGGGGTCCGAATGGAGCTAGCACAGTTTCTCTCTTTCTTGTGACAAAGGTACCTAATAATATTTTATTTTGTCAGTCAATATATGAGTGATCACTTCATAAAACAACCATCAATGCCAACTTCAAAAGGTGGAAGCAAGTATGAAGATTTCAAATAATACCTTGAAAGTGTAGCTTTCAAGTGCTTCCAATTCAAAGAAAGTTTTCACTCAGGAACAAGTATCAAAAATTAATCAAAGAAGGTGATAGGACTACTTAAGAGGACCAAGTTCAACTACGACACAAAAAAAAAAAAAAAAAAGCGAACTCATTAGCATTTGTCTGTCACTCACAGCTAATGTTGTTCCTTTATGATAAATTTACTGGATGATACAATTTGTTTTCCACAAATTAAAAGCAGCATAAAAGTTAAAACTCATAAAACTACAATCCTTTCTTTTATATCACCATATATGACTTAAAGTTTACCACTTTTCTGTTGCAACTTCTTGTGCAAAAAGGGTGGGAACTTGGTCGAGAGGCAGCTTCTGCATAGGAAGTGGAAATGGATTTCTCATGGAAGGCCAAAAGATAATGTCCTGACCTCTATCACATGTGCATGCCAGACTGAACTCAATGAAAATCTGAACACAATGTTTCTAACTACCGAAGCTGGATGCGTTTTTGAATATCGAATTCCTAGACTAACAGGTTTGTGGTTTTTTTGTCCCGTAGTGCAACTGCTAGCAGCTAAGTAATGAAGAGACATTAACAAACATTGTAGTTTGTTAGTTAAATAACAGTAATCTAGCAGAAACCCACCATGGATTTCCCTAAAGTAGACTTACACATACTGATTATGTTTCTGGTGGTCTAAACAAACACAACTATGAAGAAGCCAGTGTTATAATTTCATATCTACCTGTTGAGTTTTAAAGGGATTCTCTCGAGTCAAGTGAGCTGAAGTATAAAAGTAGCTCTTTCTTGCATTTTCAATGATCTGATGCTCTACATCTAGCCATCTACATAGCTTCAAGAATCCTTCACCACGAACATAGCCAACTACTTTTACCTGTGACGAAATATCCCACAAGTCCATGAAAGTTTCACAAAACCATTAATTTTCAAAAATTTATCGCCATACCTACTTCTGTTTATTTGAGAAAAGTGCACAGGTTTGGAGCAAACTCCAATAATATAATAACAATTTGATTACATCTCCTTTCACAATATCTGATATGAAGACAGGCACATCTCAGGACAAACATGTTGCTGGGCAGTGGGTGAATCACAATCATCCTGACCATGCAAAAGTCGCTAAAGGAATAGCAGGGCTGCAATTGCATGTTGGAAGGTTTCTTTTCCCACTGGATGATGGAAGGCTATCAGAACTACATTTACCAGGTATAGGTGGTGAAGATTCAGCACCAAATCATCTGGTTAATTCCCGAAGAAAATTAGCCATCAAATATGTATGGTCCATATTAGAAGCTCCAGAAACTGAAGGATGGAATGCTGAGTATTGTACTGAAGAACGTGGACCTTCAAATTGTATCTCAGGCACGAAAGACGAAAACAATGAAGATCTTAATAAATCATCATCAAGAAAGCGACAAGGAAATAATGCACAAGAAGTCTATTTATCCCTTGGTCCATCACAAATCAATTCTAGCAAACAAATTGGACCTAATGCAGCAGAGAACTGGATTACCAAGAACTTCAGACTGCGAGTGATGCACGAAGGAAAATCATTCTTCATGATAACAGATGATGGGCAGATTTTTGAATATCTAAGTGCTGAAAACGTGTGGTTGTGGTTGAAACATGAGCATTTAACTGCCATCAAAGGAGCAGTTGGGAGCTACAATGGGAGTTTATTCCTGGTTGATGAAAATGGAAGTCTACTTATTAGAGAAAGAACAAACACTGGACTATCGTGGATAAATTGCACGTCCCTAAGGAAAGGAAAACAGATCACTGGTGGTCCACCTTGGGATCCTAATCCAGGAAAGGGAAGAAAAGCTACAGCAAGTGATGCACTTTACTTTGTCAGCAAAAGCGGAAATTTACTACAGTTCACTGTAAGTTGCACTATACTCTCTTATCTCGTAACAGATCTGAGCAGATGATCACCATCCTAACTCCTAGGACAAAATCATGTCCCCATATAAGCCTTTTAAGTTCTTAAATCTTCATAAAATACATGGGGTTGTATTGAAAAAACTTGGCAAATTAGTGTCATTGTTCAAGGGAATCGAATGCTAAATCAATCTCTGTGACCACAGAGTATACATTAGAACAATGCAATGTTAGCTGGACTACAAACAAGAATATATATATATATATATGTATATTTGTTCTACGTGGAAGGACAACATCTAGTGACAATCATGAAAAACTAGTTTTCATTTCTTAAGAGGTTTTGAAGCAATGGTGGGAAGAAGAATGTTGCTTCTGGCTTGAATGCCGTATCACTGATACCATCAAATACCATTTCTGTTATAGGTTGCCTTGAGAAAGTTCAAATGGAAAAATTGCCGCAACCCACCAAACACAAAGATTGCAAGTATAGCAGATCAAGAAATGGTTAGAGAAAACATTGTCTTCGTTATTGGGAGGAATGGTAGACTGTATCAATACAACAAAGTTACGGAGCTTTGGCATGAACATTACCAATCACAACACTTGATTATCTCAAAATTTCCTGGAACAGCTGTGAGGTCACCTTCTCCATCATTGAAGGGGTCTCTTTTCATGGTGCTGGAAAATGGCAGACTAGTTGAATATCACTGGGATACAGTGGATGGTTGGCATTGGGTAGAACATGGAACACCAGGTGGCAATGTCACTCTAGTGGGCTCCCCTGGACCATGCTTCGAAGGTGGTCATCTATTTTTGATTGGCTCAGACGGAAATGTCTATCTTAGGTACTTGGATCTTGAATTATGGAAATGGAATAACTATGGCTTTCCATGTGATGATGGATCAAAGAATGATGAGGATGTAATACAACACGCAGAAAGAAATGGAAAAGTGGGTCGCAGTACAAATGAGGATCATAAGAAAACCTACAAAGATTTAGCAGAATATTTGCCAGAACTTGACAAAACATGTGATCCCAAGGTGAATGATGATCATTTCGTATCATGTTTTCATACAGGTCTTTGATTTGAGCTAACTGAATGATATGCAGGTGGGTTCTACACGTCCAATTCGATTTGCAGATACTTCAGTCATATTTGAGCTTAGAGACGGTAGAGTAAGCAATCTGATTTACTAGCCATTCTCCTATGATTAAGTGATATTGATATTTACCTTTAAATTTGAGAACCAAATAGCCATAGAATGGATGAATTCTGAAACAACTTTAACAAAAAGTTTGACCCCTTGACCAACAAATCCATAAAATGACATTAAGCCATATAAATATGAAAAAGCGTTAAGGAGACAAGATTTTTAATTTCTCTAAACAAAAAGGAAGGCAAATATGCATGAAAGTGCCAGTGGCAGTCCTGAAACATTAACATTTTGATTGTACTTCACACTACTTGTATTAATGTTAAGAGCATTTCCGTATGACAGTTAGCAGAATTGAAGAAAACTGACAACGGTGGCTGGGTATGGTCACGTACTATCAGCACCCCAACAAGTTTATGTCTAGCAAACTATTGGGCAGCTTCAGCTTCATAAATCAAAGGTTTGACTGTACATAGACAAAGGTTATATATGTTACACCAGCTAGATGATAGGAACCATGTGTATACTAGAACTTCTATATAAAAACTGATCAGTACAAGGAAATCCATACTTAGTTTTACTCTCACAAGCTTCAAAAAGAGAGAGACTATTATTGCTTGTAGAGCTATATACAACAACATCCAATTGCGGGAGGCCGGAAATTAGGGTTTCAACTTCATGCAAACTGCTCTTCACAGTTTTAAAGTTGAAATCCGGGCTCAGAACCGGCAATGAAAATACAGAAAGTTAGACTACATCCTCTGATAAATCTCTTACTACCCTTAAAGTAACAAATTTCTTCACTGCATAGTCAGCTAAAGAAATCAAAAGGCCCTGTGCGAGCATAGGTTTAAACGATCGTTACTACCCCACTCAAAAAATGATTGCAACCATTTTCAAAGAGTAAGCAAAAATTGACTTGACCAGAATAGAAAAGTATAACAGTCAGAAGAGAAAAGGCACCTACCAAGGCCAGAGGAAAATGTCTACCAAACTGCTTTTTCATAGCATTGGTTATACTTTAAAGATGGAGAGTGGCATTCATCTGAAACTTTTAACTGAACGTCATGAAATGGGAGGTAAATGTGGAAGATCATGAAACCCGAATCAATAAAAATTCAGTCTAACCATTTTGTTGTCTTTTTCTCTTTGCTTGAGTAGAGGAAGAAGTTGTAAAGCAAAAAGTTCCAATTTCCAAATCAAAGTGGTTGTGGTGGAGTGGAAGGGACTCCTCCACCCTTAACCATAAGTCGAGGGTTCGAATCTCGCCATAGGTATGTAGCAACCTTAAATACTTTGGCCAACTGTCCCACCGATCGAGGTGTCGCCTATAATTCAGAGAGGTGATTAGTGATTGTTGCCGATATGCAAAAAAAGTTCCAATTTCCATATCGGCAAAAAAAGTTCCAATTTCCATATCTTCTTTCTTTGGTTGACCCAACGGTAGAAAGGCTTTCTGATTCTCCACCATTTTCATCTCCGCCTAGAGTATACATCTATAGGTGGTACAAAGGTTTATAATACCAGGCAGATTTCATATGTATCTTTGCCAAATAAATTACTGACCAGTAACCATATAAATTTTTGAAGCTACATGAACACAATTTTTCAGTCCAAGGTAACAGAACAATGAAAGCATCAACAATCTTTTATGAGACTCCCTCATTCCCCACAATAGTCTCTCAATTATTTAATCTCTGTAAAAGAGTGTCAGAAAGAAAAAAAAAAAAAAAAGCAGTTACAACAAACCTCAAACTGACGATTTCTTCAATCCACTGTCCTGAACCAGCTTAGGTAAAGCCATCAAGAAATTCGTTCAAAAGTGCTTTAAGTCTCCAGGATTTCAATTCAAAGAGGAGAACCATCTGCGAAATGTTAGAAAAACAATTAAGGTTAAGGGTTTGAATCAACGTTGGAAAATGAAGTAACTACAAATGTTACAAAGGACAAAAACCCAGTAGAAATTTCACATGGTTGAAGGTTGCTGAAAATCTTCTGTAAATTCGGGTTACCATTGAAGGAAATAATAACACAAATAAATAAAAAGGAAAAAAAAAATTATGATGTATATATAAATACCCCCAATTTAAAAAAAGTGGGCTTACCCAACTTGGAAACAAGAAAAGAGGCCTCTTCTCTGCCCAAAGTCCAAATCGCCGGAGGTCGACACCAGCCGCTGCCGTGATGGTGAATTCAGGTTCTTTATTTTTCCTCCAAGTTTCCTGAAGTTAAGTTTTTAGGATTTTGAGTGTGGCTTTTTTATTTTGGAGAGCCCAAAGCTAGGAGATTACAGTTGGCAAATTTTGAATGTATTGTGTGAAAGATTATAAGTTTACGAAGAATTGAAAATCTGTTGTCTTTAGTTAAATAATTTCTTGCCAAACTTGAAGTTTCTGATGATATGATGTTCTGCATTGTTCCTATCTTCATTTTTATGGTAGTATTTCATTGCATTCTTATGAATTTGTTCCTTTTCCTAGCATTCAACTCATTAGTCATCTAACAAATATGTAGATTAGTATGATCCTATATACAATGCTTTGCAAGAATCGCGTGTGATTTCTTTGATTTTCGGCAGAGAATGATATTTTGGGATATCAATTTCGGCCGAAGATTGGGCAAAGGCCTAAAACTGTGTGGATGGTGACATGGTGTAGAAGATGCATGAGCAAACTGTGTAGGTTTACTGTTTGAGAAAATGTTGCAGAGAACAGTGGCATTTAACTATTGCCAAAGGCGAACATTAGTGAATATGAAGCTGAAATAGGTGAAAGATCGTATTTTAGACAACGCAGTAGCTGGGGGAAGAGACCTCAGATCAGCGTGTTTTATAATTTCCATCATTGCTTCCACCCCCTGATGGTTGTATGCGTATTTACCACATCTCATGTAATCAATGTCATTTAGGCCTCCCAGATGGGGTTAAGGTCTCTTTTTTTATAAGAAGATACCCGAATGTATTTGAAGAGTTGCATTTACCAGATAATGCCGGCAACACTCATGTTCCCTGGTTTAAACTGTCATTGGAAGCATTAAATGTTTATCAGGCCGCTGTGAAGTAGACTTTCTTACCAGGTTCAAGAAACTGGTGATGTTGTGTAAGAATTGGACACTTCCATTACAGACGATTGATCGGCTGAAATGGAATTTTGGGTTACCATATGACTATGAAAACTCTTTAATGAAGAGATATTCAGAATTTTTTGAACTGGGTAAACTGGATGATATCCGTGATGCGCTTAAGCTTGTGAAATGGGATAATAGACTGGTGAGGTCATATTTGGAAAGGAATGCACTCAATTCTGGTTCGGGGTGCTGTCATTTCCTATGCGATTTACAAGGGGTTATGGATTGAGAAAAGATGTCTGAAGTGGTTAGAAGAATGGCAGAAGTTGCCATATACTTCTCCTTACGTTGATGCTTCGCATTTTGATCCTTGGACAGATGATACAAGGGGTTATGGATTGAAGAAAAGATGTCTGAAGTGGTTAGAAGAATGGCAGAAGTTGCCATATACTTCTCCTTACGTTGATGCTTCGCATTTTGATCCTCGGACAGATGATCAAGGGGTTATGGATTGAAGGGGTTATGGATTGAAGAAAAGATGTCTGAAGTGGTTAGAAGAATGGCAGAAGTTGCCATATACTTCTCCTTACGTTGATGCTTCGCATTTTGATCCTTGGACAGATGATCTAAATGCTGCAGAAGAGAAAAACTGAGTGCAAAAATGTAACTTGCGCAAGCCTTTGAGATTGCCTCAAAAGTTTACCAAGGCTTTTGAATGGCATCTGGAGATATTCTGCATTTCAAGAAAAGAGTATCTGATACGGATGTTCTTAAAGAATTGTACAATCGTGATGAGCTGATTGGAAAACATCCTCTTGTTGATATAAGCCAGAAATATTATAGCATGTTGAAACAAGGTTTTTTGGACTGAAGCAGGGGTATATACAGGAAAGAGAAGATCAAGGGTGTGGAGGAAGATAATTCGTTCAGTAACCGTTTAGATTGTGATGGGAAAACTGTTGGATCTCAGTCAGGGGAAGAAGCAGAATGCGGTTCTCTTTCTGAATACGAAACTGATGAAACCAATTCCTAGTATCACGTATGACCACTGATAAGGCATCTTTGAAGGACCTTAATCAGAATCAAGCTTTTTTTATTCCCATTTTCCAAAAAAAAGTTCGATCCTGTATGAAAAAGTATTTTATTTCAAACTCAATCTATTTTTTATCTTCCTTGCTGTTAGTTGAAAATTATGCAACTTTCTGAGAAAAAAGAATGCTCCATTAAAGTACTCTACAAATATTTAGAACATTTTGTAAATGGTCTTGTTTTTAAAGTATTTTGAAGTTTTTTTAAGAGCATGCAAGGATGAAAAAATTGATCCATCAATGTTTTGGATCAACGGTCTCTAAGATTGATAGCACTATGTAGTTAAGGAAACTTTTTCCGGAAAACAACATTCATCCATCAATATTTAATGTTTGAAGTTTACATTAAAATAACAATCTTCCTTGATTTAACCTGGTTTAGATAGGATGTAGGGAAAAAGAAGGGCATCACAGTATGTCCCTCCAATTGGGAGAGGTGTGTTCTCAACAGGCATAACCTGCATTCTTGGAGTGAAATAGTCACTGAGGTAAAAAACTTCAGCTATGGAGCCTTTCTTAGGATTGATGGAACAACCCAATGATGCAGTCATTTTTGCCAAATCACCCAGCTGCTTCAAATTATTGCCATGGATCAACTGGGACCAGTGCGCCGTCTAGAAATCCTCTCTTTTCTCTTCTTCCCACTCTCCATCACCACAGCCCTTCGAAGGGTAGTGTAAAAACACTTTTGAGTTTGTATTCTTAATTTTTCTTTATTTTGTTTTTTTTTTTTTTCATTATTCACATTAAGGAAATTTTCAGATAGCAGCACAGTGAAGTTTCTGTGGTGACTTAATTTGGTGTATCTATCATGAAAATTTCATAGAAAGATTATGTGATTATTTGTTAGTTTTGATGATTTTACAATTATCTTGTGAATACTGTTTTTTCTTCCTTTAGTAATTCTTGTTTTTGAATCTCGATATTGCAGGAATGACCTGAAGTTGAGAAGCAGTTGATCCTGGGGAAATGCTAGCAATGTTATAATGTATACTGCAAATATGAGGTTAGTTTCCATAATTTACTTGTGGTTTTTCAGTTGGTTAAGGTAGCCCCATAATAACAATATATAGATACTGTTTTGCTTTGAGTTTACAGCATGATAGCAAATACAAGGGACTAACGAGAATGTTGAAAATAAGAATGTCGTCACTAGTGAGAATAAACTGCTGCAGCTTTTTTGTCCTGGTATTTCTCTTTGGCTGATAGAAGTGTACCGCATGCAAGTGAAAGCAGCTGAATAATGAATATTAATTTGGCGTTCCTTTTTGTGGGAGATTTTTTTTGTTTTTTTTGTTTTTTTTTGGTTTCTGTAAGCTAGGATACGGTACCACTCTGATAAACAGTAGTCAGTACTCCAGTAACTTATTATTTAGGTTCTGTTCTCATGCCAATATGCTAATTGAGGCTCGAACTGTTGTGACATTAAAATGGAAGAAATGACTGAAGTTAATTATCAGTAAAGAAAGGCAAAAGGGTAAACTGTAATACAGGAGCAACATGCAGTAGGTTTGTGTGGTTATGGTTTTTCGCTCAAGATTTGAATGGCGAAATGATATACTTTCCTTTAAGCCATTATTCAGTTGACATATTTTTAAGAAATATGTTTTCATCGATTCGAATATCTGTCATCTGGATGTTTCTTCATAGATTTAACGTCAAAGCTGTGGGAACTTTGTGAATTTGGGTCCTTGTCTAGTAGCTGTATTCGTAGTTATCTATTATTGAACGTTACTTCCTGTTGAAGAATCTATTTGGTCTACATTCATCCTTATTTTTCTTGGTGGAAGAAAGTAAATTAACTTTCTTTATAGGATTGTAAACAAGAATATTGAAAAGACTCACAACAAGAATGAGGTCTCGGTAGCAGAGTGCTGAGGCTGTCGGTATTCCATGTCTAACGATCGATATTCTTCTTGGTGTGATTCAGGTTCTTTATCTAAGGAGTCAATAATAGTTGGGGTGACTTTTTATGATAGTTCAAATGTGATCTTGCAGATAGAAGATTAATGATATTAGTTAAATGCTTTCTTCTCAAATTTTTTTTCTTTCTTTTTTAGGAAAGATATGAAGTTTCCACGTTGACTTTGAGTTTCATGTGTCCGTGAGTTTTATTCTATTCCCACTTTGTTCCTTAAATTTGAGAATAGTCTTTTCGGATTAGTTTGAACTTCTTTATAACCTGAGTCATTCTTGTAGAGCTGTGATCTCCCTTCTTCACATTATCTGTCTTGCCTTGTCTCAGAAAAGTTAGAGCTGTTGCTTTACTTCATCTCCTGAAGAGGTTTGTTGTATATTCCGATGTGCATATTTGTCTGGGGTAGACTGATACTAAATCTTTTAAAATTGCACGTGAGATATATTTATCAAAGATATTACTAAGTTGCTGCTACTTTAATCGTACAATGTTTTTACTCTGAATATGATCATAGGTTAATAATGTGATTTTTTCAGGCAATTGATTTGTTACAATCATACTAGTGGGAAGCTCGGAAAAAGTCCATTCCAATTCTTGATGATATAACTGCCACTCACCGTAAAAAAATTAACATAGGCTATGTGGAGAAGTTCAGGTCTGCTTAGTATTCTCAGACCCCGGGGTGATTCCATTCACTTTTCAAATTCTCTAGGTAAGCAATTGAGTAGCTCTATCCCGAACTTGCATAAATTCATGAGGAAGATGTTGAATATATCACCATTCGATGCATGTTTAAAAAGTAGATGTTACTGCCATCAAACTTTTGCCACCAGAACTCATAGACAAACTGATGATCAAACAGCATGAAAATTTATTTTGAGTTTTAGGGAAGTTTCTTGGCTATGTCACAGGTTTAAAAGTAATGTTAAGATTGATGATTGTGAAAGTCAAGGAGCAGGGCATGTGCCACCAACTTTAAAAGTATTTTGTTAGTCCAAAAAATCTTGATTAGCTAATGAACGCTAAATTTTTTATTTGTTTAAAGAAGTTTTTGGTGTTTGTCTAGTATTTCTAGGCTGTGTCGCATAGTCAACAGCAGTGCTTTTTTTTTTTTTGGTTAGCAGTGCTTTTTCTAACCGGTTATCAGAATTCTTCGGTTAGGAAAAGCAGATTTGCTTCGCAGTGCCTTTTTTTTTTTTACTAAGTCTTCGTCACTGCAGAAATCACTGAGAAGAACGGTTTAGGATATTTCTCATAAGGCACTCACGGATATTTCTGATAAGCTACGGCATAAATGTGGTTTTTTTTTGTTGGCTACAAGTGCTTGTTTTCTTTTTGTTAATGAACTAGTTCTCTAGGACTCAGGCTAGGAGATAACTGTTTCCTTGTACCATTTTCTTACTACTTGGTTTGAACTTGTTTCAATGATGAACGACAAAAATATTCCAAAACATAAGCAGGAAATCCACATCACAATAAATTTTACATCAGTTTTTCTTTGAAAGTTTGATATCACAATGCAAAAGCTTAACTAAATGGTCAACTTCCTTGTAGAATAAGGTGTTGCAGTATAATTGCTGCATGACTTAACCTCACGACAAATTTTTGTCCCAAAGGTGATGAGCGAATCTACGGGAAGGCGGTGTCTGATTTGGATTTTGTACAAATAGGTTATAAGAGTTGTCATGGACATTGTCTGCATCTTCTCTGGAGAAATAGTAGTCACCTGCTATTGGAACTCTTGCGGAAAGCATTGGATTGCTCAGACATGGTAGATGGGTCCGAGAGTCAAGAGGACAGACACGCAGCTGAAAACATGCCATCAGGATTTGCTCTGTGGAAACCTGTACTCCTTAACCTAAACAAGCAACGACAACTGATATGGAGTCTTCTTAAAGCATTTTTTAAGGATCTCAACACCAAAGCCATGAAAAAACAAACGGGTACAATCTGAAAGTGAATTTGTATGAAGGTTTACTTGTTGCTGAATTTGTATAAATTACAAACATTTTTGTTCATCCATTTCAGACAAAGATCTAATGATCGATCAATCCAGTCTCTCCATAATGAACTGGTTTTCCTGTTTTGAGTAGCTTGTCAGAAATATCCAAAAATCTGCTCCTCTCTGTAGTGACAAAGAATTACGCAAAATTTATCTGCTTTTCAAATCCCTTGTTGCCTTTTATCATGGCGAGCCTTATCGGGTTTGTCACTAAAATTGAAAATCTAGACTAAGCAATCATTTCAGACAGAGAGACTACTCTTTTTGACATAATTAATTTCAGTGTCCCCAATGTCACTTTACACATTAAACAGAGTATTCTTAGCCAAGAAGGAAGCTGCCAAACTTCAAAACATCTTGCACTTCTCTGCTTACATCACTGACTCAACAGAATGCAAATTCGCAAAGCGATTACACTAAAAGTGAAAATTCAAACTGGACAATAATTACAGGCTGTAGGGAGTATATTGTACTGAATGTTGGTCTTTGTGACATGTCTGGCTTCCTTCAGACAATTTTGTTGAACAAAACAAATATATTTCAAAAAGATTTTACTATATAATTAAATTTTACTAAGTTTATAAGTAAAAGTTAAATTTTGACTTGGTTGTGTTTTACTCATAGTTAGGATAAAGATTAATACCAAGTCAAGAGAAGAACGAGTCCAATACTTGAAATCCTTAAATTTGGTCACTAACGGAAGATTTAATCTAATCAAGTGGGAAATTTACTTTCTGATTTTTAGGGGCAGAAACTTGCAAATTTCAGCACTATAAATAGATGACCAAATGTGAGTAGAATGATGCATCACCAAAAACATTTTCTCTTCTCTTTAATCCAATTCTTCCTTTATTTGTTTCTTTCGGCAGTTCAAGGCTTTAAAGCCATTTTCTTCATTCACGACTACAAAGCATTTTGCTTTCTTCGTTTTCTGGTTTTGGCAAACTAGGAAATAAATTTTAGTTATTTTATCACTATTTTCGATCATCTTCAAGTCAAAAGTTTTATTTTTTTTTGCTGGATAAATATTATTTTAGCTGATTCTGTCCCCTCTATAATTTGGAGGAAGACTTGTTTAATCCTGGGGAGACATTTCAATACCATTGGAATAATTTCTTAAGGACAGTACTCTTTAGCACGACTCAAGTATTATTTTATTTTATTTATTTATTAATTTTTACTTATTAGCATTGGCCTACATTTTTTCCTACAATCTTAAGAAACTATGAATTCCGGCCATGCTAATGCTACCAATGTTGATGGAATTATCAATGTTGATACTACGCAATCCACAGTTATTGTACCTGCTACACCCTCGCTCCCTGTCGGCTTAACATACGCCAAACCTTTTCCCGATGTTTCGAAGATTGAAGTTTTTGCCAATGAAAATTTTAAACATTGGCAAGAACGTGTCTTTTCCTTGCTCGACATCCATGGAGTTGCTTATGCTTTGACTGATGCCCAGCCCGACTCAGCTGCTGATAGCAAGATTCAAGAATCGTGGCAACATGCCAATAATGTATGTCGTCACAACATTTTGCAAACTCTTTCTAATGAGTTATTTGATGTGTACTGTAGCTACAAAGTAGCCAAATCCATCTAGGACACATTAATCAAAAAGTTCACCGCTGAAGATGCCACGAAGCAAAAGTTTGTCGTTGAAAAATTTTACCAATGCAGATGGTTGAAGAGAAAGAGATGAAGGCTCAAGTCAACGAATATCAGAAGCTGCTCGAGGATTTGAAGGCTGAAGACATTGTACTGCCTGAGAAGTTTGCTGCAGGAGTGCTGATCAAAAAACTTCCAGATTCGTGGAGTGAGTACAAGAACAACCTGAAGCACAAGCAGAAGATCTTCACAGTCGAGGAGTTGGTGACGCACATCCTGATCGAAGATACTAACAGGAAGGAGTCAAAGACTGCCAAAGGCAAAGAGATTGTGCTCAAAGCAAACTTGGTGCAAAGCAACAACAAGAGGTACGATAACAAGTCCAAAAATTACAAGCCTAATAATCCACTTTTAAGAAGAAAGGCAATTGTTTTGTTTGTGGAAAGCCAAATCATCATGCTGCTGAGTGTAGGCAGAGAAAGAGGAATAACGATGCTAAAGTGAATCCTCCTAAGGCTAATATAGTCGAAGGAGATGAAATAATTGATGCCGTTATTTCTCAAGTGATCATTGCTGCCAATGTCAAAGAGTGGGTTGTAAACTCTGGGGCTACTCGACACATTTGTACAAATCGAGAAGCATTTTTCTCCTATACTTCTGTAGGAGATGATGAAGAGGTTGTCTACTTGGGAGACTCACGGCCTGCAAAGGTTTTTGGTAAAAGGAAGGTTGTCCTGAAGCTCACTTAAGGAAAAACTTTAGCCCTTAACAATGTGCTGCATGTTCCAAACATTAGAGCTAATTTGGTTTCTGTTGCCTTACTGGGGAAAACTGGGATAAAAGTGTCATTTGAATCTGAAAAGATTGTTGTGACCAAGAACAATCTGTTCGTGGGGAAAGGCTATTGTAACCAAGGACTCTTTGTCCTCAACATTTCCAATGTGATCAATGAAAATGCATCTGGTTCTGCTTATATTGTTGATTCTATTTCTTTATGGTATGCTAGATTAGGACACACTAATATTGGTTACATAAAGAAAATGCAATCCTTGGTTTAATTTCTGGTATTAATTTTACTAATACGGATAAATGTGAAATATGTGCTGAAACTAAAATCACTAAAAAAACTTGTGAAAGTGTTACTCGAGAAACTGAATTATTAAGTCTAATTCATACAGACTTAGGGGATTTAAAACAAACTATGACTAGAGGAGGTAAAAGATATTATGTCACTTTTATAGATGACTATTCTAGGTATACTAGACTTTATTTACTTCGAAATAAAGATGATGCTTATTTATACTTTATAAAACTGAAGTAGAAAATCAACTTAATAGAAAAATAAAAAGAGTTAGGTCTGATAGAGGAGGTGAATATTTGCCTTAAATGAACATTGTGAAAAAGAAGGTATAATTCATGAAATAACACCTCCTTATTCACCTGAATCAAATGGAGTAGCTGAAAGGAAAAATAGAACGCTAAAAGAAATTATAAACTCTATGTTAGTAAGCTCTCAAGCGCCTGATAATTTATGGGGTGAGACTATACTATCTGCATGCCACTTACAAAATAGAGTTCCTCATAAAAAGACTTACAAAACACCTTATGAATTATGGAAAGGTTATAAACCTAATTTGAAATATTTAAAAGTGTGGGGGTGCCTTACTAAAGTATTACTACCAGAACCTAAGAAAAGGAAAATTGGTAGTAAAACTTCTGATTGTATGCTTATTGGATATGCTGAACATAGTGCTGCATATAGATTTCTTGTTTTGAAAAGTGATGTGTTTGATTGTAATACTATTATTGAAACAAAGAATGCTGAGTTCTTTGAACATGTTTATCCACTGTCGAATAAAAATACTCATGCCCCTATTGAATGTGACAAAGAAATTTCCGTTGAGGAGGTATTTAGAATGAGCAAAAGGCAAAGAAAACTTTTTTCTTTTGGAAACGATTTTCAAACTTTTCTAGTTGATAATGAACCTTCAAATTATAATGAAGCAATAAACTCTTCTGATGCAAAGTTATGGAAAGAAGCTATTCAAAGTGAAATTAATTCCATTGTTAAAAATAAAACTTGGATTTTGATAGATTTACCACCTAGTGCAAAACCAATCGGTTGCAAATGGATTTTTAAAAGAAAATTTAATCCTGATGGATCTATTGATAAATATAAAGCTCGTCTAGTTGCAAAAGGTTTTTCACAAAAACAAAATATTGATTATTTTGAAACATTTGTGCCTGTGACTAGAATTTCTTCTATTCGAGTACTATTTGCTTTAGCTTCTATTCATAAACTTCTTATGCATCAAATGGATGTAAAAACAGCCTTTTTAAATGGTGACTTAGAAGAAGAAATTTATATGGTTCAACCTGAAGGATGTGTTGTTTTTGGAAAAGAAAATAAAGTTTGTAAATTAGTTAAATCTCTTTATGGCCTTAAACAAGCTCCAAAACAATGGCATGAGAAATTTGATCAAGTCTTGAGAGGAGATGGATTCTCTTCTGTTGAAGTGGACAAATGTGTCTATACCAAAAGTATTAATGGTGAATATGTGATTGTATGCCTATATGTGGATGATATGCTTCTATTTGGTACTAGTTTACATGTAATAGATAGTACTAAATATTTTCTATCATCTAATTTTGATATGAAAGATCTGGGTGAGGCAAAAATGATATTGGGTGTTAAAGTTATAAGGAGAAGCGATGGTATAATGTTGTCACAAGAACATTACATTGAAAGGCTTCTTAAGAAGTTTGAAAACTTTGATGTGACACCGGTGAGCACTCCTTATGACGCTAAAACTAAGTTGAAAAAATATCGTGGTGACCCAGTTGCTCAGTCTAAATATGCTCAGATTATTGGAGGTCTGATGCATTTGATGAGTTTTACACGGCCTGATATTGCATATGTTGTGTGTACACTGAGTAAATATACTCATAATCCCAATCATGAGCATTGGTCTGCAATTGTTAGACTAATGAAATACTTGAGAGGAACCATGAATTATGGTATCCTATATAGTGAATTTCCCACTGTATTAGAAGGGTACAGTGATACTAACTGGATCTCTGATTCAGACGAGACAAAATCCACTAGTGGCTATGTGTTTACCCTTGGAGGTGGTGCTACAGCCTGGAAATCATCGAGACAGACGATTTTATGCAAAATCAACTATGGAATCAGAGTTTGTAGCTCTTGAGTTAGCTGGTTCTGAAGCTGATTGGCTAAGAAATCTCTTAGCGGGCATCCCTTTATATAAGGATACAATGTCTCCTGTCTCTATGCATTGTGATTGTGAAGCGGCAATTAATACTGCTAAAAAGAAATCTTATAA